GGCCTTCGAAGGACCCGTCCTACGTAGACCAGTCCTTCGAAGGATGCAGACCCTGAATTCGGACACAGCTATAGTCCGGTTCGGTTCAGATGGTTCCCTCCGTTCGCTGAGCAGGAAGTCAGAAATCTGAAAGGAACCAATAGAAACGATCCAACCAGCCAGGGGGCGGGGCTAGTGGGCAAGCAGCCAATGGAAAACCAGGACCAGAACCGGAACCTTGACCCATACCTGGATCTTTTATCCAATCAGATTGTTTGGCTCCTGGATCCGGCTGATCCGATTGGCTGCCAGTGTTCCTTAGCTGCTCTGTGGAGACCCCTGCTGGATCTGTAGAATAATGTCTTGATAAATATCTTAGTTTTTTAATTTTTCTGATTTTATTTGTTCTGTCGGATAAACTTCAGATTTAGTTTCTCTGCTGAGAAAACGTCCTGGAAATGTGGAGCTGAAACCAGAGGAGGAAGAATAAATATTAAACTATAATTACTAATCCATCATTTAAAATGATTGGATCTGTTTCTGATCAGCTGTTTACTGATTGGTCCCCTCTGGCCCCGCCCACATTTCCTGAACTCTGAGGCTCAGGTTCTCAAAAGTTATTGATTCTCCTAAATAATTCAGTTATTTGAGTGGAGGGAGCCTCACTGAGCATGCTCAGTAGCAGCAGATAGAATGTGGGCGTGGTCTGGTGGCTCTGATTGGAAATGGGAAAACTGGAACAGTCCCAGTTAGTACCTGGGGTTAGTGGGAAAGGTGTGACATCACCTGCTGGTCTCAGCGGGGCGGAGCCGCAGTGATGACACAGCGGTCTGCATCAAGGTGTGACGTCACTTTCCTCCAGGTGATGAACCAGGATGTCAGACAGGAAGCAGCGCAGTCTGTCCACTTCTGGAGAATCTCTCTACCAGATCCTCGGCCTGGAAAAAGGCTGCAGCCATGACGACATCAAGAAGTCCTACAGGTAAGCCACGCCCCCTTCTAATATGTAGCCCCGCCCCCTCAGAGCAGTTTGGGCTGGTGGTCGACCTCCAGTCGGACTCCCCAGTTGAAAACAGGAAGTGAGTTGTCCTTGACTTCCTGTTTGTGGTGTCAGGAAGCTGGCGCTGCGGTTCCACCCGGATAAAAACCCGGACAACCCGGACGCGGCGGAGAAATTCAAGGAGCTGAACAACGCTCACTCGGTGCTGGCCGACCTCAGCAAGAGGAACATCTACGACTCGTACGGCTCCCTGGGGCTCTACGTGGCGCAGCAGTTTGGAGAGGACAACGTCAACACCTACTTCATGCTGTCCACCTGGTGGGCCAAGGTGGGGGCGGAGCTTAGAGGGACTGCCAGCCCCCCGGCGGTGAGGCTGGTGTGACGCTGTGTTTGTGCTGCAGGGTCTGTTCCTGCTCTGCGGCATTCTGACCGGATGTTACTGCGGCTGCTGCCTGTGCTGCTGCTGCAACTGCTGCTGTGGGAAACTCAAACCCACTGCTGCGGGCGAGGGGGCGGAGCCAGAGTACGTCTCCCCTGACGACCTGGAGGAGGAGATTCGCAACAATCCTGACAACGGTAATACGTCAGGAAATGTGTCATCTGTAGGCTGCTGCTCTGGTTTCCATGATTCAAACATTCAGATCAATGATGGCTTTAGTCTGGCTGCTCAGAGTGAACCGTTTATCATTGCTGTTGGGTTTGTCACCATGTTTTCATTGGCTTGAATCAGTGTTGAATAACTGCAGGAAAATGATGGTTTGCTGCTTTTCCGTCTGTCTACAACAGCAAAATAATGTCAGTGATTTGTTTTACATTCCCTGCCAGACTCTTGATGTCTTTTTGGTTAGAAAGTGTCTTCTAGTCTAGCGGTTCTCAACGTGGGCGGTACCGCCCCCCAGGGGGCGTTCAGAGGACGGCAGGGGGCGCTGGCGGAAATGTTTACA